CTCCCCCCAAAAAATCCCCCAAAAAATCTCAAAAAATCCCAAAAGAATAAAAAAAAAAATCACAAAAAAAATCACAAAAAAATCATTAAAAAAACCAAAAAAATCCCCAAAAAAATAAAAAAAAAACCCGAAAAATTCCCCAAAAAATCCAGAAATCCCAAAAAATTCCTTTAAAAACCCCAAAAAATGTTTAAAAATTCCAAAAAAATCCCCCCCCCCCAAAATAAAACCAAAACAAAACATTAAAAAATCGCTTTTTTCCCACATTTTTCTCAGGTTTTTTCCAGTTATTTTCCCCATCTTTTCCTCAATTTTCCCCATGTTTTCCCCATTTTCCCCAGTTTTTTTCACGCATTTTTCCACTTTTTTCCCCCATTTCTCTCCTTTTATTCCTGTTTTTCCCCCATTTTTTCCCCCATTTTTCTCCTTTTTTTTGCCCATTTTGTTCTCATTTTTCCCCAATTTTCCCCCAGATTTCCCCCCCATTCCCGAGGTTTTTCCCCCATTTTTTCCCAATTTTCCCTTCATTTTTCCCCCCATTTTTGGGCAATTTTGGGCCTTTTTTGGGGTATTTTGGGAATTTTTTTCAGTGATTTTTGTGGCTTTTCTGGGTGTGTTTTGGGCCACTTTTTGGGATTATATCCCGGATTTTGGGGTCCAATCCCGATTTTCGCCTTCCCAATCCTGGCTTTTCAGATTCCAGCCCTGCTCATAATCGCGACGGGGGTGGGACAGGGATAAATATTGGAAGCCCCCAAAAAATCGGGATTGGAATCCCAAAAATTGGAATTATTATCCCAAAAGAACCGGGATTGGAATCCCAAAAAAATGGAATTATAATCCCAAAAAGTCAGGGTGGGAATGCTCCAAAAATCGGAATTGGAAACTCAAAAAAAATGGAATTTAAATCCCCAAAAACTCGGGATTCGACTCTGAAAAACTTGGGATTTGTCACTGAAAAACTGGAATTATAATCCCAAAATACTGGGGATGGGAATCCCAAAAACTGGGATTGCAATCACAAAAAATTGGAATTCTAATCCAAAAAAGTCGGGGTTGGAATCCCAAAAATTGGGATTGGAACCAAATGAAAAAAGGAATTATTTTCCCCAAAAAAAACGGGATTAGAATCCCCCAAAAGTGAGATGCAAACCCAAAAAATAGGGGGTGTGGCCTATGAATGATTGACAGGCAGAGCCCTCCAAGTTATAGGGGCCTGAACTGTCAATCACTCCTAGACCACGCCCCTAATTTCAGCCAATCAGATTGCTCCGAGTGCAGGGTGGGACCTGTCAATCACGTCTGTACCCCGCCCTCCCCGGTCTCAGCCAATCAGATTGCGAGAAACGCGATGCTATATCCATCACTCTGTTAAACCCCGCCCCTTCACAGTCTTAGCCAATCAAATTGCAAGTAGAGCGGGGCGGGACCTGTCAATCACACCCAGATCCCGTCCCCTCTCATTCTCAGCCCATCAAATTGCGCCGTGCACAGGGCGGGATTTGTCAATCACCTCTAGATCCCGCCCCTCCTAGTCTCAGCCAATCAAATTGCTCGGAGCTGGACCTGTCAATCACTCCTAGACCCCGCCCCTCAGGTCTCAACCAATCAGATAGGGCTGCGAGCGGGGCGTGGCTTGTCCTCCTCCTTCCGCTGCCGCCGCTGCCGCGGCCGAGGCCGCGCCATGGCCCCGCATCCTCGCTGAGCTCCGGCCCTGCCGCTCAGCCCCGGCCATGGCGGCTCCGTTCTCGTAGCCGTGTCCGCCATGCCGAGCGGCGGAGCCAAGGAGGCTAACGAAGCCGCCGAGCCGGCGGTGCTGCTCCTCCCGCAGCGCCTGCAAGAGCTCGGCCTCCATGGGAAAGAGGAGGAGGAGGAAGGAGAAGCGGCGCTGAAGGAGCATGAGGAGGATGAGGACGAAGCCGCGCCGCAGCCGCCATCACCGCTGTTGCCGGCTGTGGCTGCTGCCGAAGGGGAGGCCGGAGCTCGGAGGATGACGGCGACCGTGCTGTCCCGCACCCGTGGCGGAGCTCCGGCCACGAGCGGCGAGCAGGCGGCGCTGGTCAGGAGGAAGAGCGTCAACACCACCGAGTGCGTGCCCGTGCCCACCTCCGAGCATGTGGCGGAGATCGTGGGGCGCCAGGGTGAGTGAGGCAGGGAGGCCGCGATGGCGCGGGCGAAGCCTGGGTGGGAGGTTCGTGGTCACTCCGTGAGGGCCGGCTCCTGTTTCTTCTCTTCCCTCCATTTTGGAGACCCTCATCTTCACCCCCTGAAGGTCTGGACCCCTTTCTCCTCCATTTTGGGACCCTTCTGTCCCCTCAAACCTGGGGTGGGACCCTCCCATCACATCTACAAGAGTCCCCACCTTGGTAACCCCTGAACCCGGCCTGTCTGCCCCTAAACCCGGCCTGTCTGCCCCTGAACCCGGCCTGTCTGCCCCTGAACTGGCGCTTGTCACCTGTGCCGGCTCCCGTTGCCCTGGATGTCACCTGTGCCAGCGAGGCCGCCCCGCAGAGGGGACGGGGACAGCCCTCAGCGGTGTCCCTGAGCTCTGAGCTGGGATTTGCGGTGCGAACTCGGCCTGCTGGGCTATTCCTGTCCACTTTGCAGCTTGTGACCAGGGTCGTAACAATTGATTACCTCGGGATAATTAACACCATGGTGATTGGTGATTAGTGATGGTGTGGGGTCGGTGCGTGGGATCCCTGTGTCCTGAGGGGCTGCTGGAAACAGGGAGAGAGGGACGGTGGAGATGGGGATGGTGGAGACGGAGATGGAGGTGGAGATGATGGAGAGAGAGATGGAGATGCAGAGATAGTCCTCTGAGTGCAGCGGGGCACGGAGCCCAGCGGGGATGGAGCAGAGAGGGGCAGGGAGCAGAGCGGGGATGGAGCAGAGAGGGGCACAGAGCACAGCGGGGATGGAGCGGAGATGGAGCGGGGCACGGTGCAGAGCGGGGATGGAGCGGGGCAGGGAACACAGCGGGGATGGAGCAGAGCGGGGATGGAGCGGGGCAGGGAGCACAGCGGGGATGGAGCGGGGCAGGGAGCAGAGCGG